GCACGCACGCAGCTACTATGCTAGACCCTCGAAACGATATGCCCCAGAATCAGATGCCCATGTCGGCCTACAGCATCATCCAAGGTGAAGTCACGCACGCTTCGCTGGGCGATCCTGGGATGGGCCAATGTCATAGGGCAGGCCGGCTTGATTTCTGAGTTCGCAGTTGGTACAATCTCATTAATTGTGGGCCCGTTAGAGTGGGGTTTAATGCTTCTGGGTGTAGGGTTAAGGGGTTTAGGGGTTCAGGCACTTCGGGTTTTAGGGCCGAGGACTCTTTGGGTTTTGGTTTCTGGCCTAGGGTTCAAGCGGTTTTTGGGTTTCGGGGTTTGGGTTTCGGATTCGGGGCTCAGGCCTAGGGTGTTTGGGTGTTGTGGGTTCAGCTGAAGTTGTCGAAGACTGACTATGGTTCAAGACAACGACCTGAAGCTACAGCTGGATCTTTACTTGACTTTAAGTGTACTTTCCTATATCGAACTGATACATCGTTAGAACCCTATAATATCTTCACCTAACCCTAAATCCCTGGTGCCCAATTGCCTTCTCAGGCCTACACATGTACCAGCTGCCGCATCTGATCCATGGACAAGTGGCAGGCCAGATTCGTCCGCGAAACTTCAGGTTCATAATAGGTCCTATCAGATAGAATATTGAGTTAGAATAACTTTATATATGTTGTGTAGTGGGTATATATGTACGGGTGGGGTGAAAGATAGTCTTAAAGGGGGAGAGGCAGCTGTTTCGGGATAGCTATTACCGAGTGCGGGAATCATGGTTGCAGGTATATGATGATATGCAAGGGTGTCGTACATGTATGTACAGTACTACGACTTCTACATGTTCACGCGCCTATAGTAAGCCCTTTCTAGAATAATATAATATGAACGTAACTTAATCTATATACAACATATACAGACCTTATATAATATTTAATATGGGGGGGCATCGTAAATTATGAATAGGATAATTCTAGTTTATAGAATGTGCACTAGAGCAGACGTATATATATATATATATATACACCCAGTATTTTAGTATGAAGTATATAAGTAGTACATAGAGAAAGCTATATAGCATACGTATATTATACACAGTCGTATATAGTATGTATATGTACATACATATATATATATATATATAATATGTATAGAATGCAGAGTAGAGTAGAGTAGAGGGTAGGGTAGGGCAGGGTAGAGTATATGTAGAATGTAATAGCTATGTAAGGAAACTGTACACTGCGAAGCCATCCTCAACCCCGAAATGCTCGCTCGAACCCGTTATGTAGCTAGAGTCATCAAATCTCGCACATATTTGTAGTTACGGGTCAGCTACTCTGACCATGACTACGTCGTCACTTCTAGCTGAATCTTCCAAGTGGTAATATCTAGATCTTGTATCGAACACATAATATTTCCTTAAACCGCCGAGCCCCTAATCCCCAATTATTATAAGTTGCCTACTCAGGCCATCACCGTGGCAGCGGCGGCATCTCATCGATCCAGGACCAGCAGGGGCCGGCTTCGCGAATTCCTGGGCTGTAGGTAGGTAATATAGATAGGTATAGGTACGTAGCTAAGTACGTATAAGGTCGGTAAGCAGGTATAGGTAGCTAGGTACACGTAGGCAAGGTGGTCGGGAGGCATGCATGTGCACAGGCATTCGCGGATGTTTAAATGAGCATATAGAGGGGTGTGTGTGTGTGTGTATGTTTAATATGTATGTATGTATGTATGTATATATATATATATATATGTATACATGTATATATGTATACGTATGTGCATGTGCATGTGCATGCCTTGATCACATATGTATATATATATATATATATATATATATATATATATATTGATAGATATATACACATGTATGTATGTATTCTATATATATATATATATATATAGTCATACTCACAGAAAGATGTCTGAAAAGGCAAATGTCAACTGTGCTAGACAATATGCCTCTACATGTACCCGGCACGATGCCCCGTCTCAAGTATACTGTGCCTCTATCCCCAACCAACCCCTGCCTCTCCAGTGCTGACGGCACGTACGTAAATTCGCCCCACCGGTGATACTGAAGCACTATCTAGTGCTAAAGACAAAATACCAGAACACCCACACTACCCACGCATTTCAAAATTTTGTACCGACTGACCTACCTGCCTGACATACTTACCTGTCACCCACCAATAAGTAATCCTGTACCTGCTGACCCGTAAACCTAGCTACCTACCTACTTACCCAGCGACCTACTTTTTATTAATTATACATAATTACATAATATAGGTACCTACCTATCACCGGACCTACCTATGCATACCTCCCCCGAGCAGTCGCTGATTTGATGTCCAAAACCCTCTCCGAAGACGAAGTCGGAGCTTTCGATCCAGCACAAAGTTCCCGAGAACCTGTGCAACAAATCGCATATAGATTTCGGAACAACACATATATAGCTGGAGAGCAGAGACCTAAAGTACATAGCTGTATATATCTTCATCAGGTAATCTCCCTCCAGTCTTGCCCCGTCTTTGCTTCTGATCATGATGCTCTCGTTGATCCCCGCCTGCAGGACATTGGTTGGTGAGATGAGCTGGCTCTGATGCAGGTCTAGGTCGTGCTTCCCAGGGTCCGTAAGCTGATGAAGTTTCGGGCTTCGTTGTCTAGAGTGGGGCTTAATAGGTGTGTGTATGTACATATATATATATATATATGGGTCAGCTTATATTGTATACGTAAGCCCCAGAATTTAAGATCTGTGGTGCGGGTCAAGCGGTCATTCGGATCATTTTTGTGGCTCGACCGCCATACTGCTGTCTTTAAACGGTTGAAAGGCTCTGGTTTATATATATATATATATATATATGTATATATGTATATATATCTATATATATATATGTATACATATATATATATACATATATATATATATATACATATGTATATGTATATATATATATATATGACCATATATATATATATATATATATATATATATATATATATACATATATATACATATATATATATATGGTCATATATATATGTGTATATATATGTGTATATATATATACATGTATATCTATACATACATATACATGTGTGTATATGTATATATATATATGTACATATATATATACATATATATATATATATATATATAAACCAGAGCCTTTCAACCGTTTAAAGACAGCAGTATGACAACAGAAATTAAACCGAATGGCATTGCTCTTTAGTGTTTGCTCACGAATTAGGCAGTATCTGAGAGTCGCACAATATAGTCTTCGCTTGCACCGTTCTGTGGGACATGGCAGAATTAGGGTTTGCGGCATATTTGTTGTTCATCATGTAATGAGCTGCTTTAATAGCACGAAATTCCTGCTGGGAAATCCCAGGAGGGCCCATCGTGATTTCCGCACTCCGTGATTGGGTTTCCGGGTTAGGGCCAACTATCGGGGTTCTGGGTCCCAAATATCGGGTTCAGGGGCCAAATGCGGGAAGGTGTGGGCCGTTAGAGAGCGATATTCGCCGTTACGATGCCTTGCTTGGAGAAAACGGAGGCCGAATATCGCGATACTCGGCGTTAGAGCGCGTTATTCGCCCTTGGGCTGCTTTTGGGGCCTCCCTACGAGCCTTTCAGAATTTTGGCTGCAGTGACTGCAGTGACCGGGTCATTCGGCAGCGCGCCTGCAGCCACAAGGTTGCAGAAATTGCCGAGTAATAATATTGTCTTTAGAGCATGCTTGTACTCATGTGCACGATCAAAGGTTCCTAAAAGGGCGGCAAGCTCCAAGAACCTAGACATCGATGCCGAAGTCTCCCGTGCCCTCGCGAAGGCACCCCAAGGACACAGAGCTGTGATGTGTGGCCGGATTTTGCACACATACAAATATAAATACATAAATATATATATATATATATATATGTATGTATATATGTGTATATAGTCTAGACGGTTCTTGAGTGGGCCTAGGATCTTGTTGGGTCCGGAGCTATACAATAGACAAGAACTCATAGAAGACTATGTACATGTATATATATATATATATATATATATATAGATATATGCTGGTACATTTATGTCACATATATGTATATATATAGACTTATGTACATATGTTAATGGCTGTAAATGTTAATTAACAATACATTCTATATTAGATATAGACCTGTGTAAGCATGGATTTATGAATGTATGTATGTATGTACATATAAAATTAACATATTTGTGTATACGCTTTGCACATGTATATGTATATACATATATGTATATTGTACGTGTGTGTGTATATATATATATATTACAGGGCTGTATATATCTGTAAGTTTATCAACTAGATGTACCGGGCCTATATGTGTGTGTGTGTACATATATGGGTAGGTGCACTATACTCGGATAGTATATGTGCATGTAGGCATGTAGCTGTGATCGATGGATATATGTGCTGGTATTAGATTATACAGTGCTGTGATTAGAATTATTATACACATATACAACATACATATTCCGCACAGGAGCAATGACCCCGCCGACGGCAATCAAAGCTGCTTCTCCGGCGAGTAGCAGCACGAACAGTACGATCAACAAGGCGCCGCAGCTCCGGAGACTAAATGCCAAGTCTACTTTGTCATCCCGGACTCCGACCTCTATGTACTCCCCGGGCCCAGGGTCATCACAAGGTTCGGCTATCAGCAAGGCCTCGCCACCTATCAGGTCCCCAGCACTTAAGAAGGTGAAATGCAAGGGAGAAACGGCGACACCGAAGAAGGCTTTGTTTGGGGAAGCTAGATTGCACTATTATATGTTCATGAGCATGATCGATGGTCTGCTTATGTAGCTTCGGTCCCTACCCTGCTGTACTCACAGCCCAGGTTTCAGAATGCAATGATGAGTCGGCCCCGTCGGAGCCCACCCCAGGCACAGGATCTCGGCATGGCATTTAAATCTTCGGGATCTCGTGTATGTGAATGTAATATGACCTGTACACATGCTGAGCTCTTATGCATGATTCGCTGGATGCAGGAGATGCTGCCGATCAGGCGACCGCACCAACAGGAGCTCAGGAGGAGATCCCACCAGGAACTCAGGAGGAGATCCCAACAGGAACTCAGGAGGAGATCCCAACAGGAACTCAGGAGGAGATCCCAACAGGAACTCTGCAGGAGAACCCCACAAACACTCCGGATGAGGCCGTTGCAAGCCAGAAGAACATGGCAACAGAAACTCAGCAGGAGATCCCGACAGGAACTCAGGAGATCCCGACAGGAACTCAGAAGACCCCCACAGACACTCCGGATGAGGCCATGCCAGCAGCAACAGGAACTCAGCAGGAGATCCCGACAGAAACTCAGGAGCCACAGATCCATACCATAGACACACAGTCGACGGTGCCCGGACTCGAGGACTCACAGCTCCCTCCTTGCATGGAGTGGTCTCGCGATATCCATGGTACCGTACGCGACATGCTGTTCCAGTGCCCCGATGTGCCCGCCTCGAACATCGATCTGCTGGGTGAGAACCTGGCCAGCTGTGTCCGGATGATCCGGGACCATGTCTGCTTGGGTGCCAGTCTGGATGTTGGGGAGGTCACGACTCGGCTTGGTTTGGAGAACCTTTCCGAAGATGATGCTAGCTGCTGGGGGAGTATGTTTCGTGCCTTCGAAGCTCAGTATGAGGCAGCTTGTGTTGCCCAGGAGCAAGCCCTGACAGTGTTTGTGATGAAGGAACAGCAGGCTGACGAGCTTAAGAAAATGCTTAGTGATCACCTGCAAAAGAAGACGCTGTCCCAAGCAAGCTTCGACAGCAAGGTGAAGGCCATCGAAGCAAACCTTAAGCGGTTCTACGAGGAGAGCCAGGTGGAAACCAATGCTAAGGTGAGGGATGCAGTGCTGCATCAAGACGGGTGTGCCGATGCACTCCTGGTGATGTGGGACAAGTTGCCTGTATCTGCCAAAGCAAGGCTTCCGGTCAGCTTGACTGACAAGGATGTCTTCGAGGACCCCGGCGACGACCAGGACTTGCTAGATATCGAGAAAGCAATGGAGTCTTTTATGAACGACATCCCGGGCCCAAGCTCTACTCTTGCAATTGTGAAGGCTCGACTTGCAGCATTAAGCCAATATTATGCAATGTTTGAGGCCCCGATTCAAGACCCTTAGTAATAAGAATTCCTGAATTCAGGCCGAGCCGACCCAGCCTGCACACGCTGATGGGGTGGTGATCGACCTCTCTGATGAAGAGGACAGAGTGCCTGAGAAGGCACCGGCAAAGGCGACCCCGGCAAACCCCGAAAGCAATGCCAAGCGATCCTGTGCGAGTAAAGCCCTTGCCAGCAAGTCTACGATCGAACTCATGGAGGAAGCTAGTATCAAATTGGAGTTCTTATCGTACCTTTTGTTGTAATTACATCTAAAATCAGATAACCCTAGCTACAGCCCATAATAGTAGTCTATTATGGTTTCCGCCACAAACCCTAGCAGCTAAAAGCCCGAAAGGATTTATCTACATATATATATATATATGTGTGTATATATATGTAATAAATTGACAATAAAATTTAGCCAACAATACCAATATACTAGTTCAAGTATCGAGTCCTAGAAATGATATAGCGAAAGTATATAACCAGAACATTACCATATCAGTTTGAAATGAGTATCGGATTTATAATATTGATATTCATATTCGCATTAATATTAATATTATATTAATATTAATATTCATATTAATATTAATAAATAAATATATATATATATACATATATATATGTACACATATATGTATATATATATATATGTGTATATATAGATGAATGCCTGTCTGTTAAATTAGTATGTCTATATACATATACACATACATATATATGTGTATATATATGTATATATATCCTAGCTACTTACAAGCTAAAGACCTTAAGGATCCGGAAGCTTCTGCCTTCAACATAAGGAGGGCAATCCGCAGAAGAACGGCGAGAGCGCCGAGGACTATGAGAAAAGGTTGGCTCACAACCTTTACATGAGGTTCTATCGCTCTGTTCGGAGTCAATTGGCTTGCAATATGTACACGGGTTGATCCGATCGGGGTTCCAACAATCAAGTCTCAAACCTTACAACTCCTGAGGCCCTTATCCTCAATTGCATCAACCCTGCTAACTCCTAAATCCACAAGCCCCTGTAGCTAGGCTTCAACTACAGTACAGCAAGCCCTGTAAACTCCGCAAACCCCGCAAACCCTATATCTACATAGGCCTAGCCCGACCCCAAGCCCGCCGCCTGAAACCCCAATGCAATAAAGCCTCCTAAACTCCAGAACAAAAAACCCTCGCTCAACCCACAAATGCTCAAGCCCCCTTTGAACCGCTAAGTCCCCGCAAGCCTCCTCGCTCGACCCCAGCTAAGCCCAAAAACCCGAACCAGCTAATTATAAATGCCCAGTTCCCTAAATCCGTATAAATTACCGGAAACCGTCCGCCCGAAGGTCCTTACGCTCGTATCGAAACCCACGATAACCCTTAAACCCTGAAGTTTTAATATAAATCTATGTAGCTGAGGCAAGGAATGCAAGGCTGAGATCGCTGACATGGCGAAGAAGTCCAAGCGAAGTGGCCTGGCCAACAAATATTCAGAATTCTGCTTGCAATATGGCAAATATTTAAAAACCATATGTCATTTGTCATGTCATGATCTTACTGAGACAGCACTGTGCTGAACCAGATGTTCGACGAGTACTTACAGACGAACGGGCAATGGCTGGAAAGCCAGCTGCTGGTGCGCCTTCGCACCACATCTAGCATCAAGCAGCTAGGTGAGGAGGAGTACATACCGTACAGGGAGCTGAAACAGAAGCATGGGGTGGCAACGGCCAGGCAGATGCGACACCAGAAACAAGAATTGCAAAAAAAATGCAAACCCGCGGATACGCCGTTCGTACTAGACCATCCCGACCTTCCTGGTGATCCCGAATCCTAGCTGCATCTAATTCTACCAGTCATGTTGCTGTCTTGTTGCAATCTGCCTAAAGCTATAGTTTATTATTATCTTTGGGGGACATTAATTATGTGACTGCACGTAGTTATTGCCAAGGAGTGGCAGCTTATCCGGGTCTGGAGCATGACAAAGCTGCAGAAGACGAAGGAGGACACTGTGGAACAGGAGGTCGCAAGCGACGCTGTGAGACTTGACGGTGCCCAGACTCAGCAGATCATGCCCCTAGTTTGCATATCGTGCGGTGTCACTAGTGCAATCGAACGGTGTTTGTAGTCGTGCCCACAACGAACAATGAGGAACGCAGGATCTTTCCAGCAAGGCACTGCCAAGCACTCTGATTTTTCGGCGATGCCAGAGCAGTTTCCCGAAACCGCAGCCCTGGAAAAGCCGGAGAAGAAATCGGCGGCCCGCACGCCGGGCCAGATCGCCCACAACAAATTGTCTGATCTCCAGAGCAAGGCGAAGGATGCTAGGGAGTACGCGACACAGGTGGATGCGAGCAACATGCTTCCTAGCTGCAATAGACTCGCGAATCTTGAGAAAGCTGTTTGAACCTATGCTATATTATATTACTAGTTCAGGCCGGCCAACATCCGCGACGGCTACAGCAAGGAGGTGCAGGCCTTCGCCGAGAAAATGGACTCCGACCACGAGAAGCTCACGGCCGCCTTGGCAAAAGAGTCGCCGAATGATGCCGAGCTTGCTGAGTTGTGCACGAGTGCTGACAAAACGATGGGGGAGCTCAAGAATGCCCTGAAGACAATCAAACCGGTTGTCGCGCCTAGCTTCGCAACATATGTCCATTTACATGAATGGAGCTTGTTACTTAGCCGGCTTAGCTGCATGTGTCGCGATTTGTGCATCTGAGGCGAGGAGCAACAAAGCTGCAGCTAATCCCACAGCCAAGCAAAAGGCGAGGCAGAAGCAGGTTAAGAAGCAGACCGGCAAGAAGTGATCGAGAGCTCGATCGCGATCCATGTTGCGTTTGTGTGAAAAGCTCACACAAGTTTTGCACATATGGACTGGCAGCCGAGTTTGTGCGGGCAGAGGAATCCTCTAGCATACATATATGCCTCTCTATATACCAGACTTAGCATTTTCTCCTAGGGTCCCGTCGAAGCTCCAATGCAATCAACCTGCCTGCCTCGGCACACGCTGACGAGCCTACCACATGTCTGCAGCTTCCAAAAAAGACTCGAGCAACTGGCAGTTCTCCGCATGTGAACTTCGAATACATAACCCAATGCAAGCACCCTCCGCAGATGGATCCGGTACTACCGCACCGACGCCTATGTCGAGCTACTTGCTACGTGAAGTCGGAAGTGGTGTACCGTGGTTGCACATGTGCCCCGCAATCTTATACATGCACTACACATGACTTGTCTATATGTATGTATGTAAATATACATATAAATATAAATATAAATATAAATATAGAAATAATATAATATAATATAATATAATATAATATAATATAATATAATATAATATAATATAATATAATATAATATAATATAATATAATATAATATAATATAATATAATATAATATAATATAATATAATATAATATAATATAATATAATAATATATATATATATATATATATTAGAATATACATATATACATATATATATATATATATATATATATTATAATATACATATAAGCTATATATACATATATGTGTGTGTACGTTATACACGTCTAAAATACATGATAGCCCGGAATAACTAACATATTTAAAGACCTATAGAACCACCCAATTGCAAGTCATGTGAATACTGCAGGGGATGTCGTACACGAAAGTCCGCGACATTAGCAGAGTCATGAAGAAGGACTGTCCTGCTCCATGCTGCAGCACATTGTAAAAGCGCCATCCAACCACCTGCTGCCAGGAGCTCAAGCAGACCTACGGGGTCGAGATGGTTGGGGGCACACGCCAGATGGCTGATATCCAGCATGCCCAGAATGCCCAACGCGACATGCTTCGGGCCTTTCCTTCCACGGAGCCTGAATCCTACAATTAATTCGTTGATCCGTCATGAATGTATATGTACTCTGCATGCATCTACTAGTACTGCAATCGTACATGTTTTCTGAACCAAGCTTAAGGTGCCCATTCGCTACGTCCTGGTCCCTATGCGAAGGTCAATGAAGGATGAGACGGTGGTGCAGAGGATTGATTGCATATCTCTATTATCGTGTAGAGCCATGCCAGTAGTCATGCTGTATTTCGAAGCATGTACCGTGTGCACAGGAAAATGCCATTGGTTTTGCCCCACGAGTTGATGGCGGAGCTCAGTGCTAAGGGCCACTTGGAAACTGGCCGGCAGGCTGAGACCAAAAAGTTCTGGATGCACATGGAGGAGACTGGCTTCGAGCACCCTTGCATCCAGGATAAGACACACAGACCTGTGAGTTTGTATGGCGATGATGCTCAGTATGATAAAAACGGCAACAAGCTGGTGATTGTCACTCTGGGCGACTGCATATCTACAGCGAAGCACTCTATGGCTGCGACGTGGCCGCTCTTCGTTCTGAGAGAGGTAGCTTATAACTTGATTCAGAAGTTTGTCAATAATGGAATTTACATATACCTTAAGTTTTCACTTTAATTCCAAGAATCGAAAGCATCATATGTGTACGCTACACAAGTAGCCGAGGGCCTCTCACTTGCATTCGACACCCTGAATGCCTACCTGGCCCCGGTGCCTTTTCTGCAGCACAGCAATGTACGCACTTATCGGGTTCTAGATTCATGTGCAATTAATATAACCCTAGCTACCCAGCTGAGATCGCAATATCCTTGAATATTCTTTTCCATGGACGAGTGCCAGCCTCCCCGCTACACCTCGAAAGCGAGTTCACCCTGGACAGATGGGAGAATGTTATCAAGCCGAACCTGAAGGAAGAACGCCTAATCAAGGATTGTGGCGACGAGCCAAGCTGCTTCGCAGTCACAGAAGTTCGGGGCGACTGGAAGTTCATCAAGGTGAATTAAATTTGTGTTATCTATTGATCAAGAAACCCACGACTATATAGAACTAGCTAATTATATATACCCCCTAGAAGGCCCTCTACAACATGAACGTCGGCTGGAACAACAAGTCCATTTGTATGCACTGCCACATGAAACTCCGCGATTACATTCAGTTTCCCTACAACCTGGACAATGTTCAACGACGAGACTGGGAGAGCTTCACTTCCTGCCTCAAGCCAGACTCCACCGGCGAGAAGTGTGGCCTGGATCAATGTAGCTATTGTACGTACCTTATTTAGCTAAGTTATGTAGACCAGAATCGAACCCAATCGATGCCAAATTAAAGCCTGCACGTGCACTGCTTTGGGTGGAGGGCCTGCGGCACAATGCCATTCGTTGGTGCACCCTCCATGTTATCAACTTGGGGTATGCTGGA